CGATAACCGCCTCTTATTTATGCAATCGAGATCGTACCGGTGATTTGTTTCAGTATTTAAGAGAAATTATGTCTGCTTTGGCCGCCGCGAGCGGGTTATTCTTTTTTTTTCGCCCCGGCTAAATTATCGTTCATGGGAGTGTTAAATGGATAGCGGTTTCGATGCTTAATGAGAAAGTCGCTTATCTATGATCGAACATTGAAATCCATGAATGAAAAGCGTTGTAAATGATTGTATGTTGAGGCGCAGGATATGTACGATGTTTGGAAATATAGTTTTGCTTCGATTTTGTTGCTGCGCGATTAATATATCATTCGGTGATTGATTCGTTTGTACGATGCGATCGGGCTGAGATAAGAGGATTTATGGAAGAGAGATCGCGAAGGTGATTTATTTATATGTTCTAGGAGAATTATGTCTGCTTTATCATTTTTGCGGTTTATTATTTATTTTGGGACTTATGGATATTCAACAGAAGTTTGTTGTACTTTTCACTGTTTTCTACCTTGCGTTTTCTATTGTAGCAATTTTTAATTTCTCAAATCTGGCTTCAGTCTCCAACTTTTAATTTCCCCACTTTCGAATTTCTCCAATTCACAGCTTTTCCACGAAGTGTTACTCTAAGTTTCACGACGTATAATAAAAATTTTCTCCTAGCATTTGTCCATCAAACTGCGATCTCAAATTTTCCCGTCCGAAACTGTAGAAATTATGGAACGATGATCGATACTCGCGTCTCCGTGTCCTGAGGCTAGCACGTGAAAATAGCAAGGAGAAAGCTAATTTCAGGAACAGTTATTCCATATTCAGCTTCGCCTTTATTGGTATTTCTCCTCTCTGGTTTCGGCTAAATACCGATCAAACTTTGACACTGTTCGAGGTGCAATGTTCTTCATCAGGATGATGGGGAAATTAATTATAAACTTGTATTTAATGTGAAATTACTGTCTCTATGTATTCAAAGCAAAACCCACTAATCTACCAAACATACCAAACCTACCTAACCTACTTAATTTATCAAATATACGAAACCTACCTAACCTAAAACACCAAACATACCAAATACACCTAACCTACCTCACTTACCAAATATACCTAACCTACCTCACTTACCAAATATACCTAACCCATCTAACCCATCTAACTCATCTAACCTATCTAACCCACTAACCTCCTTAAACTCCCTAATCTACATAACCGCCTAACCTACCTAACCCACCTAATCCACCTAACCTACCTAATCCACCTAATCCACCTAACCTATCTAACCCACTAACCTCCTTAAACTCCCTAATCTACATAACCACCTAACCTACCTATCCCATCTAACCCACCTAACCTATTTAACCTACCTAATCCACTAACCTCCTTAACGTCCTTAGCCTCCTTAACCTTCCTAACCTACATAACCCACCTAACCTCCCTAACCTAACCCCCATCATCCAACTAACCTACTTAATCCACTAACCTCTCTAACCTCCTTAACCTACATAACCCACCTAACCTACCTAACCTCCCTAACCCTCATCATCCAACTAACCTACTTAACCCACTAACCTCTCTAACCTCCTTAACCTACATAACACACCTAACGTACCTAACTCACTATCCAACCTAATCTACCAAACCTACCTAAACTACCTACCTAACTTACCTAACCCACCTAAAAAATCCGCTCGCTTTGTACGAATTTAGCGTTTGTCCGAAGAGATTTCGATAAAAAGAAAAGGAACACGAGTTGCCCACACGATTGTTTGTTCGATAGCGAAGGATCTCTGCGCGCACGAAGGCGAAACGGTCGCTCGTTACAAGCAGGCCGTTGACACGTTCGCCTAATCTCTATATTATCCCTGGGGAGGTATCGAGGCGGGACTGCAGACCGGATGCTGTTAGATAGAATTTTTACGAGTTGTACGAGCCTGGAACTGGCATACCATCGCCTTATGGGCAACACGTGCGAGAACCAGTGGAAAACGAGATACACGCGTTGACAACCCCTTAACAGCTTGTCCTAAATTCTTGCAGATATTGCCGATAACTGTGATTCGTATTATTCTTTCGTTGCAAAGATATACTTGGACATGTTCAAGTATATGGACTCTCAGTTAAATTAAGAGAATAGAAGTTACTTCGTGGAAATTGTGATGTAAAGGTGGACGGAAGTTTATGTACGTACATGGACGCGTGACGAATGATTGCGTTAACTGTATCGTTAGGGTCACGTTTGATTTAGCTGAAATATTAGCTGGCGTCTTCTCGTCGACGATTATTGAAATTCACGGCAGCGTATCGAGACAGGAAATGAAGAGTTACGGAACAATCGATCAGCGTCTGCCAGCTGACCTCTTTAACTGCTTTATCAAGTCGTTTGTATAGGCGGATTAACACAGTCGTCGGTAGCAGACACGTGTTCTGAATTGAAGTTTGCTGGTACCTATGTTAAACTCGAAATCCCTTTCTGTTACGTAACTTGACATTCGGTTTTATTCTTTGGGTACCATCTTCCTTTTCTGATTAGCCTTCTGTTATTAATATTCTCGGGTGATAGCAATTTTTAGTCAGGAAGGTTAGGTCTATTCGAACACAGGTTATTCTCATTGAGAACATAAGTTGAAAATATTTTTTCATCTTCTTCATAAAAAATTTATCATCTGATTAAGAATATTTTCATATTCTTAACGTTTCATTAAAATATTTAATGTTTCATCAAAATATGTAATGTTTCATTAAAATACTTAAGAGAATGAAAAGATCTTTCATAACGTAATTTTGATGAGAAATAGTGAAGCAAGATGTAGCAATCAATGTAACATTGATAACACGAGTAATATTCGCCATATAAGCTGTTACAAAGTATAGAGATCTTTCTTTTATTTTCGAATATCAAGTGGCTTCTGTCACGAGGGAAACCACATCTGTCGATAGAAGTCGAGTTTCATTGTGGACCGAGTATAAAATTACTTACAGCGCTACGTTAATGGAAATCTGTCGCCACTAGATATTTTATGACCACTGTTGACCTTTCTGGCGAAATTCTTTTTTACTACTTCGTAAGCTTTGAATCGGGGACGAGAAACGCGACACTCGCCCATTAAATATACGTTTTAATCCCTGGGCCACCTTTCAAGCTCTCGATTAGGCGCCATTTTCTAGCTTTATCCAATTTTCGAATTTTTCAAATTTTTGCAAGTTCTCAAATTTTTACATTTGCAAGTTCTCAAATTTTTACATTTGCAAGTTCTCAAATTTTTACATTTACAAGTTCTCAAATTTTTACATTTGCAAGTTCTTAAATTTTTACATTTGCAAGTTCTCAAATTTTTACATTTACAAGTTCTCAAATTTTTACATTTGCAAGTTCTCAAATTTTTACATTTGCAAGTTCTCAAATTTTTACATTTGCAAGTTCTCAAATTTTTACATTTGCAAGTTCTCAAATTTTTACATTTGCAAGTTCTCAAATTTTTACATTTGCAAGTTCTCAAATTTTTACATTTGCAAGTTCTCAAATTTTTACATTTGCAAGTTCTCAAATTTTTACATTTGCAAGTTCTCAAATTTTTACATTTGCAAGTTCTCAAATTTTTACATTTGCAAGTTCTCAAATTTTTACATTTACAAGTTCTCAAATTTTTACATTTGCAAGTTCTCAAATTTTTACATTTGCAAGTTCTCAAATTTTTACATTTACAAGTTCTTAAATTTTCTACATCTTTCACTCCCCAAGTTTAAACTCTCAAAATTTTCTTGAACCTATTACTAACATCTGTCGTTAACATCCAAGCCCCAGCACAAAAGCAAAATAATCTTCAAAGGTATAAGCATTGGCCCTTATCTGTTCTCAAGAAAAAACCTAGCCAGCTGTCGAAATAACGAGAGAGCACGTTATCAGCAATAGCCTCGGCTCCAAAGTCTGGTTTCCGCTGAGAAACAATAGCCACCCTTATTCCCATCGTCTGAAGTCGACGATCGAACGTGGCACGGGTCACTTCCAATTAATCGCTTGATAAAAATCGACGCCCGCCGTTAGCCGGCGAAATAACAGATTCTCAGCGGTATTAAACGATAGACGTGAATAACACGCGACGGAAACCTGTTATTAGGCGTTAGTCGTAAGCGCAAGCGTGGCCGTTACTACAGACTCATTTACATCGTCTCGATATCCAATTATCACGCGCGGTTACTTAAGCAGCCGACCTGTTCGAGATAAAAAATCTACGCATACTTCTCGCGGCATAATATTTATCTCGTACGTGTTCCGTTCTTATTAATGGAACAATTTGCTTGGGTACTCTGATGCTATCTGATGATTTGGGAGGTGGAAAGTCTCATTGTGGTATTTGTAAGGTGTTTAAATAACGAGGGATGTTGAGAATGAGTGATTTTTTGGGGGTATTTGAGGATTTTTGGAGGGGGTGCTCGGTAATTCACTGCTAGCGGGGCTGTGGAGGCGGGGCTGAGGATGGAAGAGCGTGTGGGATTAGGGTTATGGTGGATAGATAGAATTTGTTAATTCTTAAGTTGTCAGCTTCTCAAGTTGTCCAATTCTCAAGTTGTCCAATTCTCAAGTTGTCCTCTTCTCAAGTTGTCCACTGTTCAAGTTGTCCTCTCCTCAAGTTGTCCTCTCCTCAAGTTGTCATCTCCTCAAATTGTCCTCCCCTCAAGTTGTCCTCTCCTCAAGTTGTCCTCTCCTCAAGTTGTCCTCTCCTCAAGTTGTCCTCTCCTCAAGTTGTCCTTCCCTCAAGTTGTCCTCCCTTCAAGTTGTCCTCTTCTCAAGTTGTCTTCTCCTCAAGTTGTTCTCTCCTCAAGTTGTCCTCCCCTCAAGTTGTCCTCTCATCAAGTTGTCCTCTCATCAAGTTGTCCACTGTTCAAGTTGTCCATTTCTCTCAAGTTGTCCACTTCTCTCAAGTTGCCCTCTCCTCAAGTTGTCCACCTTCCAAGTCTTCAAAACTTACGTTTTCATCCTCAATTTTTAACAATTTCCGTTCTCACTTTTCCAGCACGCGAACAACGTCCGAAAGTCGGCAGCCGAGTACGTGGCACGTCGTCAGGCGCGGAAGATCTCAATGACACGATCGATAACCTCGTCGCTGGCCCTGCCGATGTCGCAGCTAAGCGACGT